ATCCGCCCAAGTCTTACACAGGTGAAAGTGACACACTAACAATGACTAAACCCCAAATGAAGCTAAATTAATCTGCCGAGGAATGCCAGGGCTGCCTTCTAGATGGAAGGGGACTTAGTCCTGGGAATGAAAGGACACTGGGCAACCTCTTGCCTTCATGCACCGTGGAAAGCACCTGTCAGTTCTTTATATCCAGCTGAAATCTGCCTTCCTGGGACTCCACCCTGACCTTTGTCTTTGTTTAGAACAGCAAGTCTTCCCCTCCTTCCACATGACTGCCCTCGGAGAATTTGAAGACTGCTATTGCAGTGTCTTGAAGGCGTCTCTTCTCCAACCAAAGCTGTGGTGTAGGGAATACCTCTTGCAAAAGCAATGTGTACAGCAGAGGGTGAGTGGAGCCAAAATCCGGGAGAAAGCAAGGCCAAGGGCCGGGTGAGAAGGTAAAGAGCATCTGGCCTTGGGCAATGGGAAAAATGTGAGGATGAGGAACAAGTTCACGATGTGTGATGGCGACAGAACTGATGAAGCTTGGAACTGATTGGATATGTGAGGTAGAGGGAAGGAAAATCAGGTATGGTGTCAATGTAGTTTGTTTCCCTTTCCCTTTCTACTTTCCCTTCAACTTTATTGTAAGTTGTTCTCCTTTGTTCTAGAGTTCCCTATAAAGCTCACGTAGGCTTTTCTGTCATGCACTTAAAAAAATTCTGCTGTAAATCTTGGTTCTAAGCAGCAGAAACACAACTGAAAAATAAAAATAAAAAGGACATCATTGGTTCTCTGTGGAAAGAGCAGGGGTGAGCTTCAGATACATTTAGATAAAAGGGCTCAAATGATCCATCGGAACCTAGTATCCCAACATGTCATGGCTCTACTACCCTTGGTTTGACCTTTTCTACTCAAGGATTTGCCTATATGACGGCAGAGTTTGCCCTCACAGGCTCTAGGCATGTATCCTGTTCTCCTAGCAACACGACAAGGCCTCATTTCCAACAGTTATAATACAAAATATTAAAAGTAAGTATTGTTGCTTGTGTTTGGCCCAGGACGAGTCACAGGCACAGTAGGATGCCTGGTCTAGATCACATGGCCAAACCTGAAGATGGATTTGGGATTAGCCCCACCCAAATCACATGGACTAGTAGGGAGGGGAAATCCCCAAGGAAACTGAGAGTGGTGTCCTTGGAAAGAGAGGACCATGGATGCTGAGCAGTAGTGGTTGCAGGTGTCCAGAGCACTTTGTTTTCCCTCAGTATTACTGAGGAATAATGCTAAGAGATAAGCTCTTTGTATCCACAAGGTACAAAGCAGCAGTTAATTCTTGAATGGGAAAAAAGTGTATTTTCTATTCATCTTCACTGTCACAATCATGTTGAACAGGAAGCAGCAATTTTTACTCACCGGCAAGAAGTCTTCAGAGACTGTCAAAAGACTTTATCCAAAAGGCTTCAGAACACTGCCATTTGGTCACTATTTGCTGGGCCATTTTCCAGGATACTGTCTGGGTTCTAAGGTGCCTGATTGCATGGAGCGATGGGTACTCAGTACCATCAAGTACAGGAACCCCTTCCTTAGCCCTTCCAGAACTCCCTGCTGGCACCATGGGCTCTACAACTGTTAGCAGCATTTGTTGTTCACCTGGTGAGTGTGGAGCTAACACCTAGGGGTGCAGCATAGGAAATAAATGGCTTTGTGAGGCATTGTGATAGGCTTGAATTAAGCCAAATAAGATAAATCTGTTTTCTATTTTGTTGTAGTAATGACAATGAATTGTATCTTTCCATTACCTTGTGAGGTAAGGATTCACAGAGACTTTACCAGATGTTGGGAAGAATGAGATACAGTTACCTGGATACTTGAGTACATATCTGGCTTGCCTTTTCTGTCTGACTAACATATTGTTCTCACCAATACCATCATTGGTGTTTTGCTTGTTAATTCGATTTCTCTCAGATTTCTTCCACTCAGAAACTATTTACTCAATCCATACCTTTTGAGTGGCCTGCCTTTTGCCAGTTACTGAACCCTTTATAATGCATAATTCTGCAGGGCAAGAGCAAGCTCTTGACATTCACTTAGGAATAGGTCATTGGGAAATGCCATCAACTATATTTTTATTGGCTTCACTTTTGAGAGAGCCTTCCTAAGACAACAAATGCATTACTGGTAGCTGTGGAAAGAAAAAGCCAAGGAGTATGTTGCTAGCTGTGCAATAGAAAAGTAGCCACAGTCATCTTATTTCTTTTCTCTTGAGCAGGTTTGGTCATTCAGACCATGATGACAAGAGATGCATTTCTGATAGGAGAGGAAGAGCTAAAACTTACTTCCCTCTGACCCTGTGAGGGAGACATGCCCTTATTCAATCCAAGCTACTTAAACAGGTTTTATTCCTACATGTTTCTGATTCAAACAGTTCCTTCCCAAAAGCTTTTCCAAGTGTGGTCTATGGCCTACCAGTGAAGAAAGAGCTCCTCCTGACCCAAAAAGTTATGTCCGTTATCGGGTGTTATGGGTGGCATTCCACAGACTAAGGGTGTCTTCCTTGTAACTTCTCAGGGGTGTTATTAAAAGTTCCTAAATTTAGCATGTGTGGTTAGTTGGATATTCTAATGTGGTGCTTGGTTGAGAAATCTGTCTTCTACACAGTCCTTGGCAATCCTGGCCACTTCTCTCTATATGTGCTCATAGTTTTCAGGAAGAATGTTTTTGAGCATCTTAGTGTCTCAGGCTGGTTGTGGTTTTCAGTTACTGCCATACTTGTATTAATTGGAAGTTTATAGAATTACTGTTATGTTTAAATTGGGTGGAAATTTTGTTCTTACATAATGGTTGCATTGTTGGCATTTTAATTACTGCTTAGCTTCTTTTGAGTTCTTTGTTAATCACCAAGCTATTTTTCCACTGGAAAGCAGGACTGGGTGGAGAAGTTGTATGAAGTTGTGGTTGTCTACAGGGTTCTGCCTAGTTCAAATTCTGGCTCTGTAACTTGCTAGTATGTAGCCTTTGGAAAGTTAATTAACCTATATGATGGTATGAAATAGAGGCAGAGTTAGTACCCCATAGGCTTCAGGATGAAATAAAATAATTCATGTAAACACTTAATATGGTGCCTAGCACACAGTTGGTAGTGAAAAAGTTGTTGTTGGTGGGTAGCTATTTTTATCTTGGATTGCTGTTAAAAAAAAAAAAGCTGAGAACTGTTGCTCTAAAAGCTAACCTTAACTTGTCTCTTTTCCCTTCTTCCCTTAATTGGTTTCAGTTGGTTATATTGCATTGCTAATGAGACCAGTGCCACCAATACCACGGGGTCCCTCAAACTACATTCCCCTCTTTAGCCGTTTGTGCCATGGGGTTAACCGTCCATTATTAAGAGAGGTGTTTTTTGTTTGTTTTTCTTTTTAAACAAATAGTGTGAAGCAAAGGAAAAAGGAGGTTGACAGTGATGAGGAAAGTTAATCTTTTTTTTTTGAGTTGGAGTCTCACTCGGTCACCCAGACTGGAGTGCAGTGGCCGCTCCCGGCCACCGCAGCCTCGCCTGCTGGGCTCTGACGATCCTTCCGCCTCAGCCTTCCAAGTAGCCGGAATTACAGGCATGCGCTACCACGCCCAGCTGATTTTTTGATTTATTGTAGAGAAGAGGTCTCGCTGCCCAGGCGGGTCTCGAACCCACGGTCTCAGGCAATCCACTCACCTCAGCCTCCCAAAGGCGCGGGATTACAGGCTGAGCCACCGAGCCTGGCTGAAAGTTAATCTTTATAGAATGTACTGTAAGCCAAAGAAGTTATAGTCTGTGCTCTGTGTTCAGTATTTTATATCTATTTCATTAATTCTCACAACAACCCTAAGACTTCCTAATCCCCTAGGGAATGTTAATATTTCTCTTTTACAGATAGCAAGACTGAGGCTTAGGGATGGTAAGTGATATATATGTATAGGGATTTATATGTATATATATAGAGCTGGATTTTGAACCTAAGCAATAGAGTACTACAAATCTTTAGCCACTGATGGAAATAGTTCAAAAGCAAAAGCTATAGTGATAGTGGACCCATTTTATCCAATGGTGTAGAATCAGTCTGTGCAGTGTTTTAGATGTTGGTACGTGGCTCTGTTCAGTGTCTTCACATCGGCAGATCAGGGAAACAACCAGCTAAAAGGCTACTTGCAAGAGACCTCAGGGAATGGGAGTTCAGGTAAAGATGGTGCAGTTTAGTTAGGAGCATCAGTTTTAAATAAATTTCTAACACCTTCATTTTGTGCAGACTTTGATCCAAAGAGTGGTATGGCCAAGTGTTCATGCAACTGTGTGTCAGAGGGAAAAGTCAGATTGTTTCATCTAATTACTGTTTTACTAAATATGTCTTTAATTTCTCCATAAAAAAAAATGCCTCTTAAGCTTTCTCAGTATAACTTGTATGGTGGTAGTAAAGGTTACCCGTAGAAAAATTCTGGGAATCCAAAGGACTCTGTGTGTTCTCTCAGTTTCTCTAGGGACATGTAAATTGAATTGGCTCAGCAGTGAACAGAATTTATTGCAAAATCACATCTTCATACAGAGAAAGTTTGAAGACTTTCCTCACCCTCCTTTGATGTAGTAAATTGTACTCCCATGGTAGCTTCTGGGTAAGGACAGATGGAATTGTAGTGCTCTGTGATTTGTATCAAACAGCTACTCTTCTGCCTGGGTGTTTATCTTTAGGACTGAGCCCTGTGGTTCGGAGATAATATGGAGTGTTACACTGTGTTTGATGCCAGTTGGTGGCCTGGGCTAGTGGTGAATGCTCCAGGCTGGAATCACGAAGGCCCTTTCCAGTTTCATTTTCTCTTTGACTCGTCAGGTTCTTTCTTCAGTGACTCATCTGCTCTAACTGCCCACAACACCTTATCAGTTTTATCATCATCATCATCATCATCATCATCATCATCATCATCATCATCATCACAATGTCTTATTTATCATGTGGTTTGTGGTTAAGTGGTTCGGCCCAGGAGACAGACTGTGGGAGTTCCTGCCTGGACTCTGCCCATTTTCAGCTGCCCAGCCTTGGGCAAGTGATCTACTTCTCTGATGCCTCAGTTATCTCATCTCTCTGACAGGGATAATTAGGCTGGTATGAGGACTGAACAAGAGAATGCGTATAGAATACTCAGCAAGGTGTCTGACACAGAGCAGGACTTTTGTCATCAACATTATTAAATTATTATATCGATTATAATTATTCTTTAATGACTCTCAGATGGACCCTGATAGATAAACACATGTCATTTATCTTCTCTAGAAGCATATACTTGAGAACAGATACTCATTGGCAGAAAGCAAACCATACCTGCATCAAAATATCTAAAGCTGGGCAACCCCTTTGGGTCCGCTCCCACTGTGGGAGCTTTTCTGTCCTCTCAAGAAACCAAACAAAAAATATATAAAACTGCAGGACTAAGACACTTTAATGTGGTAGGTTTTAGAATGCTCTAGCTAAGCAGGACAGTTAGACTTTAGCTTAAGTTGATTTGTTGAGAAGTTGCATTAACTATGCCACTCTTCCTTGAAGCAATAATTCAGGTATTGTTTAATGACCCTCATCTCCTTGAGCTGATCCTGGAGAGTTGGGTCCGATTCTTTTAAGGCAGAGGCTCTTGAGAGACTCACCTGAAAGCATATAAATCTGAGACACTTGGCTAATCAGAAGACAAAGCCATGGTCGAAGAGACCTTTCAGGACATTGGTCTTACTTCTGAAGCTCAGTCTGATGCTAGTGGTCAACTCTGAGGTCTGTGGGATTGCCCAAAGCACACTGGCCATTTCTAAAGGCTGAGTTGGATGCTGTTTGGATGCTCTTTGCTTCTGCCAGTATAGAAACCATATGCACCATATGGTTATAAACCATAGCACAAACTGCTGGAATGACTTGGTAGTTATGTGCATTTACCACTGCCTGGAGAGGTAAAAGGAGATTGGAACACCTTGTAGTATCAAGATAGAATAGTGAGTGCACCACTTACCAGCTCTGGGTCCTTAGATAAACCAGGTAACCTCTCTGGGCCTCTGGTTCCATATCTATAAAATGTGAATAACGCTAGACCTAATCCATATGGTAGTTACAAGGATTAGATGCTGTCATGTGTGGCACTGGGTAAGTGCTATGTAAGTAGAGTCACTCCTGCTTAGTGCTGTGACCCTACTACCATTTGGCCGCACCCTCTGACCCCACCCCCCGGGCCTTCCTGTTGGACCTTGTTGTTGTCAAGCAGTCCTGGTGAGCATGGTTTGCTAGCTCCATTTCAAAACTAATTCTCTTTGGCTCATTTACCCAAACCAGACAAAGATTAATGGCCTGGCCTCAGAGGATAAGCAGGAACATGCTTCTGATGCCTTTGGCTCATTGATGACGCCTCCCCAGTGCAGGGACTGTTTGGGTGTTCTCGAAAGGGGTCTCCTGAGTCCCAGGAAACCTTGAAGGAAAGTGATTTGGCATAAACTCACCTCCTAATTAAGGAGGGCTTCAGTGCTGCATTTTACTATTCCTTCTGGATTTTGCCATTTATAAATTGAAGCAAGTTTCTCTGGGATAGAATGTTTGGGAGAAATGCAGTGATAAGGATGACTGAAAAAAGAAAAAAACTCGCCAAAGTATTGTCATTTCCCTTGCTCTTCCCTTACCCAGCTTCCCAAGGTTAATGAATGCTAGTCCCCACAAATCGCTGTTGCTAGCTACAACACTACAATGGGGGTGGCCTATTTTACACATGGACTGGCTACAAGGCCCTGCAGGATGGGGTCGCTGCCATTCCTGCCCTGCTGTCATCTCTGCCTTGCATGGGTTGCCAACCATACTGACCTTCTTCCCTCCAAAAGGCCATGCTTTTTCCCATCTAAAGGACCTGCACCTTCTGTCAGCACTGGCCCCCAGGTCTTCCCAAGGAAGTCCACCTCATCATTCATGTGTCACGCAAGTGTCACCTCTTCAGAGAAACGTTTTTTTACCTTGGATCCACAATACATTTCTTTAAAAACTTTCTCCGTTGCACTTACCAATATTTGATGCAGTCATATTTGTGCCTTTGCTAATTTCTGTTTTCTTCATAGTGGAGACGTTTCATGAGAACAGAGATCATTGCTGCCTTGTTCATCTGTATCCCCAGTACCTAGAACAGCCTGATTATTATAGCACTCAATAAATATTACAAAAAGCATGAATGAACAAACACTTTAATGAATTGCAAGCAACTTTAGAAATCACCCATTCAAGAGGTCTTCAAACTTCAAAGCCAATATCCCCTAGTTTGAAAGGTACGCAAATAAAACTAATAAAAGCAAAGGCAGAGACATTTGGTCACGGGATCTTAGCGTCTCCCCCAACCCTTTTGGCAGTCCTGGCTTGTGCAGAGGCATGGAGCTCAATTTGCAAACCATGATCTGGTCCAAATTCTTCATTTACCATAGATAGTAGAGAATAGGCAAGTGCTTCCTCTGCATTCCATCTGTCATGGGGAGAGAGCAGCACAGCTAGAGTTTGTGGTGACTTTGGCCCTCCCATCAAATTCCGTGACTGTTAAGCATTTCTTTTCCCAGTAGGAGAGCCCTCAGAACTTGCATGGGTAATGTGCTGTTTCGGTATATTTCTTTTTCACAGTCTCATTTGATGCTCACAGCAGTCCTGAGAGAGGTAGGCAGAATAACTGACACCCACATTTTGTAGATGAAGTTAAAGTTCAGCAGGTTAAGGTTACCAATGGTGAAACCCAGGACAGAATCAATCTTCTGACTCCTAATCTCAAGAAATTTTAAGTTTCTCTACCGATGCTTTTTCATTCATCGGACAGTCCTCTTTAAGTACAGAAACCTATTCCCTTTATCTTCATCCTTCTGATCCTCAATAAGGGGCTATGCACCTTTAGTTCTCTTTAGAAAATTAATAATAAAATGGGGGTGCTTTTTTGTATTTAGAGTTTGATCATTCAGAGTCCTTCTTGGGTGACTCCTTCAGTTTACAGATGTGGTATTGGAGACCCAGAGAGAGTAAGAGACTTACTCAGTGATACAAAGCAGTTGAGGGGCCAAGTGGGACGCATTGCCCAACTCTTGACCAGCCATTCCCAGTTATATTTCTTAGCAGGTGAAAAAATCCCTTTTTGGATTTAATGACTCTCTTCAGAGATGCTTGACTTGGAGCCCTAGTTAGGGGTTAAATAAATGATTCTCAACTGAGCGTAGCCATTAAAATAACTTTGGGGAATATGTGATGGGACCCGTAAAAAACCAGATTTTATTTACTAAAAATTGTGTATTTATTCTCACATGTTTAAACTACAGTCCCCTTCAGAGTACTCTCCATTTGATGCAACACAGCTATTGAGATGCTTTTTTCACTGCTTAAAACAGCTTTTGAACTCGTCAATTTTGATGCCTTTTAGTATTTCTGCCATTTTTTGTTTCACCTCTTCTGCACTGGCAAAACGTTTCTCTTTGAGAATTTTTTCCATCCAAGGAAACAAAAAAATGTAGCTCAGACTGAGATCAGGTGAATAGGGAGGGTGGGATACAGGGGTCATGCCATTTTGGTTAAAAACTGCTGAACACTCAGTACCATTTGGGCAGGAGCACTGGTAAATCACCTATCATGAAATGGGAAAACACGCTGAAAGAATTAAAAAAAAAAAATTGCTGAAGCTGAATGTAGCCCTTTACAGCAACACTAGCTGGTACTCTGATGCCGATGGGTTCCTAGAAAACTAACCTAGCAGGGGAAGCCTGTAGTATAAGGAGCCTGCCCTCCAAGGGTCCTCCATATATATATATATATATATTTAAAGTTGTGATGATCAGCTTCATCCTATACCTTTTTATACTTACAGAACCTTAACAATCAAAGAAGAGTTTGAGCACTATGTTCATCTTTTCTAAAGCAGAGGTTTTATATTAATAACAGCAGCATATCAAGAATGGGCAAACTGGTTCACAGGCCAAATCCAGCCCACCACCTGCTTCAGTATAACCCGTGAGCCAAGCATAGTATTTACAAATGAACATCTGTAACTGATTTTATAAGGAATACTAACTTTGAACCCTCATTAAGCTAATATCATTCTCCCTCTTTAAAAAAATCTGATTAGTAGACTTATGTTTTTAAAAAATCATACTCAATTACTATATTCTGAATTTTGTCAAAAATTTTGTGACAATTTGTTTTCTCTCTCACTATATAAGCACCTATATAATGTCATTGATTTTGGCTCTTTGCCCACAAACATAAAGTATTTGCTGTCTGGTCCTTTACAGAACAGCTTGCTGACCCTTGCAATATGCTGTTGTCTGTTTTATATTGTATTTTTCTTTTCTATATACTGGGCACTTTCCCATTTTATGATTTATATAAGTAAATCTTTAAGGGTTTTTTATTGTAAATATATTATTCATATAACATTCAAATGCATAAAAAGTATGTAGAGCAAAAGTAAGTGCTCCCATTTCCCAGTACTAACAGTTCACAGTTTGAGACATTAGTTAACCTCTCTAAGCCTCATATTTTCCATCTGTAAAGCCGTGATAATAACAGTTCCTGCCCAACAGAATTGTTGTGTAGATTATTTGAGATAATTCATGTGAAGTGCTTAGCACATTGCCCGGTACACAGTTAATGCTTAATGATTTGTAACTAATTTAAAATATTTTCTGCTTTCTGTTTATATGTTTATTTGGTTTTTAAAAAAGATTGAATATTATTTTTTACACAATAGAGTTTCACAGAGTTCCACAGATGCTTCTGATAAGAGCAGAAAAAGTAAATACTGAGAAGTAGATTATTACTAAATGTGTTCTTATTTGGGGGCCATAAAGTGCCTTCCATCTCATGGCACAAACTGGGGAAAGGGGAGAGGTAATGGTTTTCTACAGCGAATCTGTAGGGTGGTATAAGATGCACACAAGTAAATTTTTTATTTCTATTTTCCAGGTCTACAACTCGAACAAAGACAGTCAGAACGAAGGAAGTAAGTACAATGCTTGGGCAATTTTTTCGAAGCCCGGGTCAGGAGTGGGCTTTGAGAAGTTGCTACTGCGGGGATGAACCACCAGGCGGTGCTGTGGGCATGTTGGGTCAGCCCCACTTCCCAGTGCTGTGTGAGATGCTTCCACCCATACTTTGACCAGTGACTCCAGAGAGCCTTTCAGGGATCCTGGCTGGCAAGGCTGTAATGACACCTGACACCTTGCATTTAAATAACCCTCCACACTTACAAAGCGTTCTCGTGTACTCACTTAATCCCAAGTCTTCTTAAGACTATGGCTCCAATCACCACTTAAAATCACTTAATACGATAATACCTAAGCCCCCGAGAGCCTTATCCTGTGGGAAAGCCTAAGTTACCCTTACCTCCTGCACAGTCTCGCAAAAAGGACTGTAGAGGCAATAACTCTTGTTGGTGATTTCTTGGTACCTGATTTTTTTTGTGGCCTCCTTGGGAGGAAAGAATAGAGATGGCAAATTCCATAATACTCCTCTTTGATGGAAGTGCCCCGGGTGGCCTCTGTAGAATATACAGCACATTTCCTCTGCTGCTGGCTCTGGGCACTGGGGTTAATCATGACCTCCAAGGGCATCTGTAACCTTGCAAAGGCTATAGGATTAAAATGAAATTGCTCCTGGTAGAGTGTTTGGGCTGATTATCACCTAGGTGCATAGGAGAAAAAACAAATCCTTCCAGGTTACTGCAAGAGTACAAAGGAAACCCTTTTCCCTTGCCTCAGATTTGCTTTGTAAAATCCACTTGGTAAAAAAAAAAAATCAAAGGTAACCCTACTGTGAATTCCAGTGGTGTCAAGAAAATCACTAGAACAGTACCTCTCCATGTAGACAAAAGGTTGGGGTGTGTGTGTGTGTGTGTGTGTGTGTAAGCCATTATAGGACAAAAATTTTTCCTCTTTTCTTTCTTTTTGAGATATACATTTAACCAGGAGTTTTATATAAAATACAAAGTAATTTGGAATGACTGCTTTTGTTTTTCTAAGGTTGTATTAATCACTGATTTCAAGCTGGCAAAACTGGAATAGTGGTCTGGGTTGGTGCTTCCTCACCTTTGGTGATGTTTGGACCCCATTCCCACCTCAGAGGAGTCCTTAGCTCCTGCTGAGCTGTTGTACTTGTGGATCTGTTGATTGCAGTGATTTGCGATGGCACTGCTACCCATAGGGCTCATCTGCCACAGTTGGCACTATTGCCCAGGATCTTGCAACCTTCCTTCTGTTTATGCCACAATCGAAACTCATTTAGAGGTAAGAAGTCAATCTGATAGGAATTTAGGAGTAAGGCATTGCTCTTTTCACCAAATTCCAAATGTCTAGCATTTTCCTTTCTAGGAAATGTTTTGGTGGGAATTTGAATGCAAACATCGTGGATCACAGGGCCAGAATGTTTTGAAGAAGCAGATAGCAAAAGGGAATTCCTTTGGGAACACTTCTGAATGAATGTGTTGCTTTCATCTTGAAGTTTCTCTCGGGCATACAGTGCCTGTGGGGCATAAGACAAGACCATAAGTAGTGTCTGTCAGCTGCTGGTATTTTCCAAATGACCCAGTTGCCAGGGAGAGGATGGCCACAGATAAATACATGTGCATTTCTTTGCAGAGCCTTTTCCTCTCCTCCTTTCTTCTCTTTTCCCTGTTTGGATCTCAGGTTTATAGGGTTAGATTAATCACACTCTCTGTTCATGGCACATTTCATCACAGGTCCCCTAATTCATCCATTTATTCTCTCTTTTTCGTTTCATTTATTTGTTCTCTTAAAATATTTTTTCCTACTCATATTCCTGTCCTCCACTGTAGGCCACCCTTCTAATGTGTATTTTATTCTTGGAAAATGCGTATCTTTTATCTTCCTGTGTTCTGAATTATATAAATGGTTATGTACTTTGTTTGGTTTCTTGCTTTGTTCCCAGGCATTGTGTTAGGAGCCATTGAGGAATTTCCTATTGCTATCTATACACTTACCTTGGCTTCTGAATGCTGCATCCTTCATGGCACACAACACTGTGTGTCTATTGTGTGGTGAAGTGCTTCCTCTCCTCATGCCTTTACATCCTCATCACCACTGCTTTACGTCCTTGTCACCACAACAAACATCCTTATACATGTCCTCTTGTGTGAGAGTTTTTCTGGGATACACCCACGAGGAGAATTGCTAGTCAGAGGGGATGCAAATACTTAGTGTAAGCACCCTGTCATACCGTTCTCCAAAGTGGTCCTTCCACAGTGCCACCAGCTGTACGTGCTGCCAACTCTCCATTCTTGCCAACTCTCACCATCATTCAGTTTTCTAATTTTCTACCAGTCTAATAGGTATAAAATGTTAGCTCATTGTTGTTTTAATTTGCATTTCTCTGATCACTAATGAGTTTGAGCGTCTATTCATATGATTGTTCATTTGCTGGATTTTCTCTTCTGTTAATTTTCTATTCATGTCCTTTGCCCATTCTTCTATTTCAGTTGCCATCTTTTTTTTGTTGATTTATATTTGTATCTGTATTCTAGATACAAATCCCTTGTTAGTTTTAGACATTTTAAATATCTGTTCCCATCTTGTCATATGCCTAATAATATGTAGTATCAGCTGGGCACAGTGGTTCATGCCTGTAATCCCAGTGCTTTGGAAGACCAAGGTGGGTAGATTGCTTGAGGTTAAGAGTTTGTGACTAGCCTGGGCTCAGTGGCTCAGCCTGTAATCCCAGCACTTTGGGAGGCCGAGGCGAGTGGATTGCCCGAGTCTGCGGGTTCGAGACCTGCCTGGGCAACTTGGTGAGACCTCATCTCTACAATAAATCCCCCCAAAAAATTAGCCGGGTGTGGTAGTGCGCACCTATAATTCCGGCTACTTGGAAGGCTGAGGCGGAAGGATCGCCGGAGCCCAGCAGGGCGAGGCTGCAGTGGCCGGGAGTGTGCTACTGCACTCCAGTCTGGGCGACAGAGTGAGACTCCAACTCAAAAAAAAAAAAAAGAGTTTGTGACTAGCTTGGGCAACATAGCGAGACCTCCATCTCTACAAAAAATTTAAAAATTAGCTGGGCATGGTAGTGCATGCCTGTAGTTCTAGGTATTAGGAGGCTAAGGCAAGAGGATTGCTTAGCCCAGGAGTTCAAGGTTACAGTGAGCTATGATCGCACTACTGTACTCCAGCCTGGGCCCAGACCCTGTCTCATATATATATATATTTGTGTGTGTGTGTATGTATATGGTGTCCTTCCTTGAGTATAAAGTCCTACTTACTTTTTTTTTGCCTTCTGGTTTATGGTTTTCAAGTTGTATTTTGATGAGGGCCTTTCTGACCCATGTCACAAGATATGCATCTACATTTTCTTTTATTGGCTCTATGAGTGTGTCTTTCACCTTTACATTTCTATTTTAGCTGATCTCCACCATTGTATATGATGCCTCATGAGAGATCCAGTCTTATTTTTATCCATAGGAAGAGTCAGCTTTCCTACCAACATCGACTAAGCTAGTCATTTTCCCCTGTTGATTTGTGGTGCCAGCTTTCTTGTGCATTGGGTTTGTATATAGGTTTGAGGTCTATCTCTGAGTCCTTTGTTTTACTTTTTTTGGCCATTTTAACTGTTTTTGTACCAATTGAGTATGACTGTCAATTGTCACATTATACCTCTCTGTTTTTAATACAATGATATTGAGGCAAGTCTTAACGTCTAGTTGTTTAAGTCTCCTTTCTTACTCTCCTTTTAAAAGATTGACTTAGCTATTTGTGGGTCTTTATCATTCTGTATAAATTCTAGTTTCTCAAATAAGTTCCTCAAAAAATAAAATTTTTATTTGGAATTGCACTGAATTGTATAGATTAATTTGGGGAAAATTGACACCTTTATAATATTAAGTCATCTCCTCCAAGAGCTTTGAATGTCTTTCCATTTATTTAGACTGTCAACATTTTTTATTAGAATTTTAGTTTTTTGCCTAGAGGTCTTGCTAATTAAGTTAGTCCCTAAGTGCTAAATTCAAAACCAATGGCTGTTTTTGCCAGTCCTATGGGCCTCTTACCACACATCCTGCTGCCAACAGGGTACTTCCTGGGCTTGCTTCAGGAATCTACATGAGTGACACCAGGCTTCTGGTTAGTCAAACTCTTAGTTACTAGATAAAGGAAGCAGAAATGGGAGTGTGACTAGTAAAGAGGAATAAAGTATGGCTTGTTATTCCTTACCAAGGAAGTGATCACTGCCAGTGTCAATCATCTAGACATCTGATACGTGCCATTGATTTGCCTCCATTAGTGTTTTAAAGAACAAGACTCTGCACTGGGCAAGAACACCTCTCCCATCCCATGCTCTGTGGCCCCCCTTTGCCATCTTAATGCTTATCTCCTGAGTCTATTTATCATATTGTGGGCTCTACCTTTGGCTGCAGTGGTGAGATTTACTGCCTAAAGACTATGAGAATTGGTATGTTTTCCTTAGAAATGAGCCCAGTCAGAGGCAGGAAGAGAAGCCAGAAAGTGGTCTGTTCTCAGCCCAGGCTGTTGTTGTCCTGTATCCCACCTGAAGGGAGGTTAGAAAGCCATGAACTTGTTAGAAAGGACAGACCAGTCCAGTGCAAGAGAGCAAGGGAAGGGCAGGCTTTTATAGTGAGTGTTGGTCTTTTCCAAGTTTGACATTTTAAATAACAAATGTCTACTTAACTCTAAAAAGATTAGCTTGTTTATAGGAAGGCTGCCCTCCCACTGCTTCTCCAGCTGTTTGAGGGCAGTAGTCTGACAGACTGAGGCAGAGAGGGCTCAGTCTAACTAATCTTGACTTCATAGTGCTACTTTCTTCGGTGTGAATATTAACTCAAATTCCGTAAGTTAATGGGTTACATTCAAAGGCCTATACTCAGGTTATTGCCGGTATGCCTTCTCACACACTCAGGACCCAGCTCAACACTGACCATCTGGCTTTGTATAGTTCACACCATTTCCCATTCGTGTCTAACATGTTCCTGTTTGCTGCCAC